CCCCCCCCCCAAAAAAAAAGAAGACAAAGAAGAAAGAAATGGAAGACCTGGAAGATGGGTGGACTGCTAGTGTCCACAGTTTAGCAGAATTAATATCATAGAACTGCCTCTATTCCTGAAAGCAATTGGCGAATTCTATGCAGTCCACATCAAATTTATGATGTCATTCTTCACAAGAATGGAAAAATTAATTCTAAAGTTAATTTGGAAACACAAATGACCCTGAAGAGCCAATTATACTACTGAGTTGCTGGTGTGGTACTGGCAAGAGATATTCATGCTGATCAATGGAATAGAAGATCCAGCTGTGACTATTGGAGATTTTACAAAGACCCCCACACTTTATCAAATGGTGTGAAGTCTGGATATGCACATGTGGAAGATGAAAACTAAATCCTTCTCTCGCTCTCACCCTGTACAAAAATAAATTCCAAACCGATGAAGTATTTTAATACAATACCAGAAATCTTGCAACTGTTAGAGGAAACAGAAAAACCCTGGAAGTTACAGGCATAAGTAAAATCTCCAAAGAGAACTCCAAACGCTTGGAAAATAAGAACAAGAGTGAAAAGTGTGGATGTATTGACTTAAAAAAGATTCTACAGCTGGGTGCTGGTGGCTCATGCCTGTCATCCTAGATACTGAGGAGGCTGAGATCTGAGGATCGTGGTTCCAAGCCAGCCCAAGCAAGAAGGTCGATGAGACTCTTATCTCCAATTGCTTACCAAAAAGCTGGAAGTGGTGCTGACGCTCAAGCAATAGAGTGCTAGCCTTGAGCACAAAAGCTCAGGGACAGTGCCCAGGCTCTGAGTTCAAGCCCCAGGACCAGCAAAAGAGAGGGGGGAAAAAAGGTTTCTAAACGGAAATTAAACAATTTCCAGACTCAAAAACCTACAGAATGAAAGAAAACCTTTGTCAGTCATTCCTTGGATAAGAGATTAAGATACAGAATAAGTAAAGAGCTTCAAAAATGAGAGGTAAAAGAACAAATAATAAAATCCATGAATGGGAGTAAACAGATATTTTTCAGAAGGAGGAATACGAATGGCTCATAAATACATGGAAAAATACTCAATATCCTTAGCCCTAAGGGCAATGCAAATCAAAACTACACTGAGGTTCCTTCTTACTCCAGTCAGAATGGCAATCCTCAAGAAACAAAACCAGTGCTGGAGAACGTGCAGGGGCAGAAGGACCTCTGGGGACATAAGGTAAAGCAACCACTATGGCAGCCTGTGTGGAGATTCCTTTCTTGCTTTTCCACTTTGGGTCATATGCCTGAATGAACATAAGTTAGCATGTGACAGAGAGTCCTGCTTCACACCTATGTTGCTCATGACTATTCACAACTGCTAAAAGATGGAATCCATCAGCTGGCGAATGGATAAAGGAAATCAAGCCATAAAGAAGAATAAGATATGTCATAATCATAAGGAAAATGTATGGAACTAAGGATTGCAACATTAAGTGTGAGGGAGGCAAATATCACACACTGTCTCTCACATGAAGAATCGAAGCTTTAAAAAGGAGTGACAGGAAGCTGGGCGCCAGTGGCTCAAGCCTGTGATCCCAGCTACTCAGGTGGCTGAGAGCTGAAGATCACAGTTCAAGGCCAACCTGGACATGAGACTCCTATCTCCAGTTAACTACCAGAAAAGATGTAAATGGAGCTGTAGCTCAAGTGGTAGAGTGCTAACTTCAGCACAAAAGCTCAGTGACAGTGCCCCAGCCCTGAGTTGGTATGTATGCTCTCTCTCTCTCTCTCTCTCTCTCTCTCACACACACACACACACACACACACACACACACCACACACACACACTCTCTCTCCTGCAGGGAAAGGAGGCATACATATTGTCACATATGAACACACCTGGACACACAAGGCATGCACACATAATGAACACATACATGTGCACGCCTGCACAAACACCTTCATTCAAAACATGGACCGACACACATACATGTACAAACACACATGCACAACACAGACATGCTTATACGCAGCACACAGAAACATGCTTGTGCATGTTCACATATGTGTACAAGACACACATGCACACAGACATGCCCACCTATGCACAAATGCACGAATGCACTCACATATAAATACCACACACAGGGACACATATGCACACATGCACACCACTCACTTGTATGCACACACACCACATTCACACACAGCCTTGACTATTACTCATGAATATGTGTCCCCAAATATGCACATATGAGCACACATGCACACATGTACCTGCAAATCTAAACATGTTTGTGCACAGAAGATCCACACATGTGCATACTCATGAACACACAAAACCACACACATATACATACCTGTGCACCAGCACACATGCATGCAGGTGCACAGGTACAACACAAGGAGATCCACTGAACACAACCACACACACACACATTCGCCCCCCATATGCAGGAATGCACACCCCTATACACATACATGAACACACAGCCACAGATACATGCATGCATGTACACATTCACATGTATATGTGATCGTGGGCACATACACAATCTACACACATGCTCACATGAATTTGCACTCACATGGTCAGATGCTTATACACACACACAGCACCACAGTGAATGTACACACGAGGTGCACACGCAGCGATGCCCAGGCCATACACATACATGCACATACACTTGCTCCCCCACCCCAGCTATATGTGCTCGGTTGAACGAAACTCAGAGTTCACAAGGTCCTCTCCTCCCTTATTTCAGCCTGGCCAGATGCTGGGCAGAGCCCTCTGCTGAGTCTGCATTTCTGACCTAAAGAACTGTTGGACAGTAAAGGATGTGGCTTTAAGCCCTTAAGTCTATGGTAATGTTTTATGCACAGATTCTAATACATCCTTTTCAAATTTGAGGTGTGTGTGTGTGCGCGCGTGCATGCGCATGCTCATCAATACTGGGACTTGAACTCAGAGCCTGGGTGCTATCCTCTTTGCTTCTTCACTCAAGCCTGATGCTCTCCCATTGAGGTCACAGCTCCACTTCTGGGTTCTTGTTGGTTAACTGGAGGTAAGACACTCATGGGCTTTCCTGCGTAGGCTGGCTTTGAACCACACTCCTGATCTCAGCCTCCTCAGGAGCTAGGATTCTGGGCATGAGCCATGGGCACCTGGTCACATTGCTTCATTCCTCACCCGGTCTTGATGCCCAGAGCTGTCTGTGCACATGTCTAACATTTCCCTAACTAGACTGTCTCTGTTTTGTCTCTGTCTTGCTGGCGTAACTCTCAGGGCCTGCCTCTGCTGGCCCTTCTGCTAGAAACTGGTTTCCATGATCAGACTGGATGATCCTTGAGGGCAGGGAACAGATAGTCTGCTCTCAGGGTCAGAGTTATTGTGAGGACAAGAAAAGGGTTTCTGGTCAACTAGCCTGAAGTGAAGTTCAAGGGAGGGCTGTGGAATTGATTGATGGATCAAGCCATCCACCCACCCATCATCCACCCATCCATCCATCCATCATACACCCACCCATCATCCATCCATTCATGCATCCATCATCCACTCACCCATCCTCCATCCATCTATCATCTATCCACCTATACTCCATCCATCCATCCATACACCCACCCATCATCCATCTATCATCCACATAGGATTTCAACATCCATCCATCATCCATCTACCCATCATCCACACTGTATTTCAAAATCTATCCATTATCCATCATCACCCATGCATCCACCTACCCATCCATCATCCACATAGGCTTTCAACATTCATCTATCCATCTACCTATGCATCCATCATCCATCCATCCATCCATCAATCATCCATCCACCCATCATCCATCCATCCATCCATCCATCCATCAATCATCCACCCATCATCCATTTACCCATCTATCCATCCACATAGGCTTTCAGCTCCATCTATTTATCTACTTATTCATCCATCATCCATCTATCCATCCATCTACACAGGTTTTCAACATTCATCAATCATCCAGCCACCCATCACCACCATCCATCCATCCATCCATCCATCCACCCATCCATCCATCCATCATCCATCCACCCACCCACCTATCCATCCATTCATCATCTACCCTTTACCCATCCATCCACACAGGCTTTCAACACTGGTCCATTCATCTTTCACATATAAACTAAGCATCCAGCCTTGCTCCACCTACCCACCCACCCACCCATCCATCCATCCATCTATCCATCCATTCATCTCTGCAGTCTTCCTATCCAAGTTTGATGAACACATTTTCTACACTTCTCTCAGTCACTGGAAACGCAAAAACAAAAAACAAACAGACCAAAAGACACACCCATTTCTGTCCTTAGGAGCTTATATTTTATAGGTAGACACACTAACATCCCATTCTCCATGGAGCCCCCAGAGATCTGCCTGGTGTGACTCGGGATGTGGCTTTTCTGACAGTACTCAGCTCAGCAAGAGCATTGTTCATGCCACACCCTGGCCCCCAAACCTTCATGTCAGCACCCCGAAAGGACTCAGTCTGCTTGGAACCCCATTTTCTCCCTAGCACCTGTCTGTCCTTCCTTCCTGGAAGAGCTATTCCACCTCAGAGAGGGCCAGGGACTGCCAAGAAGTCAAGAGGACCAGGGCTAGGAGCAGCGGGTTCAGTACTGACAAGAGAAAAGTAAGGTATGCAGAGAAGAGAGATGCGGGACATGGCCACACAGTAAATTAGTGGCTGCATCTGAGCTAGAACGTTGAATGCCTTCGACTAAGCTTCTGATAAAGCAGATATACTTGTCTCCCAGCCCTCTGGTGTGTGTGTGTGTGTGTGTGTGTGTGTGTGTGTGTGTGTGTGTGTGTGTGTGTGTGTGTGTGTGTGCTATATTTCTTGGGATCCTAGGAGGCACAACCCATAAGACTGGACCCAACCACAGAGAGTTCTCCCAGCACCTGCTTTCTTCTGGCTCTCTCTCTGCATTCCTCTCTCCTCTTTCTGGGATTCAGTTTGATTTCCTCGGCCTGGGATGGGGCAAGGCCTACCTGGCGTGCGCGATGGCCGCCACCCACTCGTCACAGTCCTTGGCATCCTCTGTCCTCAGCTCCAAGGCCTTCTGGTTCTCATGGCTGAAGTTCACGGTGAAGTAATGCTGCACCAAGAGGAAGAAACGGCCGGTTACCAGGCCAGCTGAGAGCAAGCCGCGGCGGTGGCTGGCTGTGTCAGGCCCACCAGCCTGCCCCTCCATTTAGCAGTTTCAGACTCTCCATTCATTGGCTTCTGTGCCAGGCTCCGGGGGCTCACGCCTGTCGTCCCAGTTACTCAGGAGGCTGAGATCCTGAGGATCGGGGTTCGAAGCCAGCTCAGGCAGAAAAGTCTATGTGACTCTCTTCTCCAAGGAACCACCAAAAAGCTGAAAGCGGAGCTGTGGCTCAAGCTGTAGAGCACCAGCCTTGAGTGAAAAAGCTAAAGGACAGCATCCATGTCCTGAGTTCCAAGTCCCACGACTGGCATAATAATAATAATAATAAAGGTTTTTATACAGTACAAGAAAACCCATGCTTAGGTGGTAACAAGGAAAGAAATGTAAAAAAAAAAGCTTTATTTTGTATGAGTCTCACAGCATTCTCTCTATTGTCTCTTTGTGTTGTTGATCTGAATTAAGCACCCCCAAACCTCTGTGAACACGTAACATTTAGTAATAAGCACCATGTGTTTGCTTGAATTGATGCAGTATGGTCACTGCCATATTAGAGGTAAGCAAAAGAACTCTCAGAGGTGGAAAGAAAGCCACTGGGCTAAGGCAGCCTGGAGAAATCAAGGAGGGCTTCCTGGAGGACAAGGCATGGGATAGGCAGATCTGTGTGTGCAAGGGTGTGTGTGGGGGGGGGTACTGGGGCTTGAACTCAGAACCTGGGTGCTGTCCCTTAGCTTTTCCTCTCAAGGGGGGGGGTCCTCTAATCCTTGAGCTTCACTTCCAGCTTTTTGCTGGCTCATCGGAGATGAGTCTCATGGATTTTTCTGCCTGGGCTGGCTTTGAACACTGCTCCTCAGATCTCAGCCTCCTGAGGAATGACAGGCATGAGCCCCTGGCAGGTTTTAAGGGCGGGGTGGGGGTGGGGCAGAGGAGGGCTGGAGAGTTCAGAGGAAGGCCAGATGCCGCCCTGGGTGGGGGCCTCAGACTGGACAATCGGAGGGTGCCCCGAGTGCTGGGCACGGGGTGCAAATGAATTTAACTGTATTTGTGTTTTAGTTGTCGTTCTAGGTGGCAGCTGAGGTGTGTGTGTGACACACACACACACACACACACACACAGCATCGGTGTCTCTCCTTGTTTCCTAGGAAACAGATAATGAGCCCGAGAAGGAAATGCCAGCTGCAGCCTCACATAGCTGAACCTGAGGGCCCCGGTGGGCACTGTGCCCTGTGGGAAGAGGAAGCAGGTAAATCCAAGCGGAGGTTGGGCACCAGTAACTCACGCCTTAATCCCGGCCACTCAGGAGGCTAAGACCCGAGGATCACAGTTCAAAGCCAGCCCGCACAGACAAATCAGGGAGACTCTCATCTCCAAGAAGCCAGCAAAGAAAAAAATGCCAGAGCATTGGCCTTGAATGAAAAAGCCAAGGGAGAGTCTGAGGTCCTGAGTTCAAGTCCCAGTCCTCAAAAATGAAACAAAACCAAACAAACAAACAAAACCTGAGCAGAGTGGACGCACACTCATCTCCTGCGATGTCTTTTCTCCCATGTCCCCCAGGTGATCTAGATGTTCATTGCTTCGCAGCCTACAGGTCCAGTGATCAGAGAAGTCAACCTGCTTACCTAAGGCCACACAGCAGGAAAGAACTGACCCACAGCTGGACCAAGCTGGCTGACCACCATGCTTGGCGACCTATAAGTTGATCTTCTCTGCACTGGGCCTCTCTTCCTCTCTTCCTCCCAGAAACAGCTTCTCACCTGCCTGGTCCTGTTTAAAGAGGCCCAAAGGCACCCCTATTGAGAATCTAACCAGGAAGAAACAAGCCAGGCCAATGCCTGAACCCAGCCTGAACCCAGCCATCAGACACGCTGGCTTTCTGCCCCACAGTTCAGTAATGAGAGCTCCCAGAGACTATAAACAAGTTGTCTGCTAACTTGAAAAACTTTCTTCATTCTTTTTCTGTCAGCCCATAACTAGCTGGGGGTCCCTCTGTCTGTCCATTTGGGCCTGAAGTGGCCTCACTGTGTCTGCTTGACCTTCCTCTGACGACAGTCCTGGGGGTTGAACTCTGGGCCTGGGTGCTGTCCATGAACTTTTTCTCTCAAGGTGAAGCACTTTACCACTTGAGCCATACCTCCACTTCTGGCTTTTTTTTTTTTTTTGGTGTTCTTAATGGGAAATGAGTCTTACAGACTTTTCCTGCCAGGATGGCTTTGAACCACCATCCTCACATCTCAGCCTCCTGAGTGGCTGGGATTACAGGCATCAGCGACTGGGCATATCTTTCTGGCAGTGTTTGTACCGTGGCATGCCTGTGATTGTCAATAACCAGCAGTGCCCAGACTTGGACTGGAGACTTTAGTGTACAGTGGTTGACGTAATGAATGACGAATCAGTCATTCAGGTAAAGAGAAAAAGGTGTGAAAGCTTGGTTCTGCACGCACTTGTGGGGACCATTGCTTGAACTCACTGACTCTTACTCTTAGCTTTCTCACTCACAGATGGTGCTCTACCACTTGAGCCATGCCTCCGGCCCAGTTTTTCATGTGTTAACTGGAGATAAGGGTCTCACAGACTTTTCTGCGCCGGTTGGCTTCAAATTGTGACCCTCAGATCTCAGCCTTCGGAGTGGCTAGGGTGAGAAGCGCGGGCCACTTGTGCCTGTGTTTTGGATCACAGCAACTTTGGGCAGGGACTTTGTGTATGTGAGGACTCCGGGCACAATCTTGGACGTGGTTTGATGGCCCTTTGTCCATCTGCAGAAAGGGTACAAGAGGGCTTCCTCCTTCCTAGACAGCTGAGACAGCCAATTGGAACAAGGCTGGCACCAGACAGCAAGCAAACCGGTAATGCACGCGTGCTGTGTTTTTAATTTTTCCTCAACTTCCTTAGAACTTTTGAACTTGCCTCTCCCTGGCAGCTTTGCTTGGCCAACCTGGCTGTGCCTTTGGCTGCTGGATAAAAACATAGTCTGAACTGGAACTTAGTCAAGGAGTTCAGGACAGTTTGGAGCAACAAGCTGGCTGTTCAGTGACTGTAAGGCCCGCTACTCAGGAGGCTGAGACCCTGAAGGATGGAGGTTCCAAGCCAGCTGAGCAGGAAAGTCTGTGGGATCCTTATCTCCAATCAGTCAGCACAAAAGCTGGACTGGAGGCATGGCTCAAGCGGTAGAGCACCAGCCTGGTGGGAAAGTGGCTCTTAGATCCCGAGTTCGAGCTCTAGCACAGGCACAGGCTTGTAGTGGCTTCTCTGTGCTAAACTTCCGGCCCTGAGTTTTCAAATCTGCATCTTATGGTGCTATATAAGGACTTCTGCTTTGTCCCCAAGCTGTCCCAAGACCCTGTCTGGTTTCCTGGTCTCCATGTGGATCTAATCTAGGTGTCCCCCTGACCTGCACACCCTGCCTGGCCCACGGAAAGTGGGTGGGTGTGTGGGGACTAAGGGAGTCTCCGTGATGCCTCTCAGAGCTCAAAAGCCTATGACATAGCAGGGCGTGGGCCAGCCACTATAAGACGGATTGCTAAGGATCACAGTTTGAGGCTGGCCAAGGCCAACAAATCTGTGGGATTCTTATTGGTCAACTAACCAGCAGAAAGCCAGAAACAGAGGTGTGGCTCAAATGGTAGAGCACCACCAGCCTTTGAGCAATAAAGCTAAGGAACAGCGCCCAGGCCCTGAGTTCAAGCCTTGATACCAGCACTAAAACAAAACAAAACAATAACCATGGAAAACTTAGCACAGCCACACAAATGATCTACTCTGTAGCTGTAAACAAACAAATAAACCAACAATGAGGACAAATAACATACTCACACTCACCCCACTATACAGCAGAAAAAACCAAGGCATGAAATAGTAATGACAGTATGACTATGCGTATGATAACTATGCTCGCATCATAAGCATGAGGGTGGATTTGCGTTTTCACAGGGCTTGTGACAGGGTCTCATAATAACTTTCTCCAGACTGGGTTATTTGGGTTTTTGTTTTTGTTTTTGAACCACAGTCCTCCTATCTGTGACTTCCTATGGAGGTAGGACAGCAGGTGCACACCACCACACCTGGCTGGTTTGTTGAGATAGAGTTTCAAGAACTTTTTGGGAGCCTTCCTCCTACTCCCCACCTCTTAAGTGGCTAGGATTACAGGTGTGCACCATCCCACCTGGCTCCCTCTTATCCTCATGTCTGGGCTCGGCATTTCAGTGTCGATGTTGTTGGCCTGCCCTGGACCTGGGAGACCAGGTTTCTTTTTTTTTGGGGGGGGGCATGGTCGTGGGGCGTGAACTCTGAGCCTGGGCGCTGTCCCTCAGCTCTTCAGCTCAAGACTAGTGCTCTACCGCTTGAGCCATAGCACCACTTCTGGATTTTTTATTTTCTGCTTATGTGGTGCTGAGGAATCAAACCCAGGGCCTCATGCATGCAAGGCAAGCACTCTACCACTGAGCCGCCTTCCCAGCCCATGGATCGTAGCTTTCTTAAAGCTGCTACAGAATCTACTGGGCCGTGTCTGTCTGGGGTTTCCCCATATAGCACTGAGGGGGAAACGGAGGCTCAGAGAACTTGAAGCCCTTTGTAAGCTAGACTGTGTGAGGATCAGATCCACATGAGGAGCTGGAAACTCATGGCTACAAATCTCTAATGGCTCCTGGTCCGCAGAGGCTGAGGAGAGCCTCGGTGAAGGAGGCTGGAGGCTAAATCTGTGAGCGGAGGCTGAGGTTTGGCAGGGGGTGAGGAGGGGAGGGGAGCGCTCCGAGCTGCCCAGCTGGGCCCTGCATGACAGTCCCCCTGAGCATCTGGGCGTTGGCAGGCTCTGGGCGCCTGTCAAGTCTGCCCGTCACCCATCTGCACAGTCATAAGGGGGTGAGCTCTGTTCTTGGCATGTGTTCCAGCACCGGCTCCACGCTCCCACAGATTCCAGGGGAGCTAGGCTGTGGGGGGGAGCACAGCGGAGGGGG